ATATTGAGTATATAGGTTATACATATGCGAAAGTCTCTCTGTAGTACTAAATGTATGTTATGTATGCATATGTATGCTACGTACATATCTGTGTGATAGATGTAACCATTTGCATATACACACATGTACCTAATGGTAATGTAATGAGATGCAATGCACGCAATGTATTGTTATGTAGTGTAATGCATGTAACTGAAGATGCTTAGGTATACATACATATCTATCAATCCATCTACCTATCTGTCTATCTACCTATCTATCTATATCTATCTATCTATATCTATCTATATCTATCTATATCTATCTATATCTATCTATATCTATCTATATCTATCTATATCTATCTATATCTATCTATACCTATCTATATCTATCTATATCTATCTATATCTATCTCTATCTCTATCTATCTATCTATATCTATCTATATCTATCTATATCTATCTATCTCTATCTATCTATCTATCTCTATCTATCTATCTATCTATATCTATCTCTATCTATCTATCTAGCTATCTATCTAGCTATCTATCTAGCTATCTATCTATCTATCTACCTATCTATCTATCTATCTATATCTATCTTTATCTATCTTTATCTATCTTTATCTATCTATATCTATATCTATATCTATATCTCTATCTATCTATCTATCTCTATCTATCTCTATCTATCTCTATCTATCTCTATCTATCTCTATCTATCTCTATCTATCTCTATCTATCTCTATCTATCTCTATCTATCTCTATCTATCTCTATCTATCTTTATCTATCTCTATCTATTTCTATCTATCTCTATCTATCTCTATCTATCTCTATCTATCTCTATCTATCTATCTCTATCTATCTCTATCTATCTCTATCTATCTCTATCTATCTCTATCTATCTCTATCTATCTCTATCTACCTCTATCTATCTCTATCTCTATCTCTATCTATCTATCTAGCTAGAAAAATATACATGTATAAATATATTTATATACATATATATGCCTATAATCAACACATGCATTCTTTTAACGTCCATATGCATCCGGCACGAAGGCTTTCTTTGGAACACCTGGGGCACCCCACAACGAAGAGACACCAACCTGGCTGGGAACCTAATCTGTTGCGGGGACATCTGGTCAGCCTGAAACTGACCATGATATCTGATAAGAAAGAAGTCAACCAAACACAAGAATACTGTTGAGCTTTGGTTCTTGAACTTTGCCAAAGAAACTGGATGAAGATCATCTCGCCAATTTGGTCTCAGTCCAGTTGAAAAACCTCTTAAACAAGGATCAATGTCAGGTCCTCACTCCCAAAATAGATTATATATTAAAGCAAGCCAAACAAACATTTGTCTGCAGCCAGCTGGCCAATCAATCAATCCCTCTCTCTCTCTATAAATATAATTATATATACACATACATAGCTCCTCAACTTCTCCTTGTGCTGATTAAAGATTCCGGATATTCTGGCTTTTCTCGTGCATGAATCCGGGTCTTTTTGGTGTGTCTTGATATGGGTTCCCATTATCAGCAAGATATTGCAAAGTTCCTCGCCTGGACAGTTCTAGATTTAGATGAATCCCGGATCTGATTCAAATCAATGATTGAAGGTATACAATTATTGTGTTCATGAGGCTGGTGCAGGCCACTCACAACGCCGAGACATGCCGGTACCAGGTACCTCGAAGCAAGCTCTTGCAAGCGCTTTTGAAGCTGTTCCAACCTTGGTCTCCGGGGCAGGAGAGCGGGTCGCAATTTTAGCGCAGCTTGAGGCCGAATTCAAAAAAGTTCATCCCACAAAATCAAGTTGCTCAAGCTTGGGATTTATTTATGGCAAACAGATTGGAAAGTATTTTTGCTGTACTCACGTAGTACTCAAGTGGAATCACTAGCAACAATTGGATTTAACCATCTGGTTATTTAACATAGCCATGGAAAGATCCACCATGCTATCAATAGCTAAACCATCTATTTCTATGGGCCATCTATACCACGGCTATGTTAGTCATAACCATTGGATTTCACCATATTTCACCAACAAACCTTCCGATCTCAGGAGTCTCGTCTCCGCACTGTCCAACTGGCGCACTGGCGCACTAGGGCTTAATTTCCACAGTGAAGGATGGATGGAACATATGAAAAACATGGTTTAAAACACATTTAATAGTGGTTAATGGTGATTAATAGTGATTAATGATGGTTAATGATGGTTAATTATCTGGTTGGTGGTTGAGCCCTACCCCTCTGAAAAATGATAGAGTTAAAGTCAGTTGGGATGATGACATTCCCAATATTAATGGAAAGATAAAATTCATGTTCCAGACCACCAACCAGATTTGGAACCATCTTGCAATATCTTACAATCATATGATACCATATGAATAGATCCATTTGATATCAAATGATACCAACAGATATCAAATGGGGTTGTCTGAAACTTTGGCACCCCAAACCCCATGATTTATCATCATTTTCCCAGTAAAACGGCAATTCGAGGGGTATACTGCGGTATCTCTTGTGGGCCCAACGTTTGGGAGTTGCCCGGAAGCAACTGGCTTTGTCTGCAAACGGTGCATGCAACAATTGCGGCAAGTATGACGATCATGATAATCCATTATAGGATTCCATAGGCCTTGGGAAGTTTTGTATTTTATGAATCCTTTTTTTCCTCCATACCCTCTGGCTATTAAACATCACTATATATAGAATATGTTTCTATGGCAACCCTCTGAGGCTTCCTACTGTGTGCTGCGGCCACAGCTTAGCTGTTCTTGGAGCCGTGCCACACGACCGGACCTAGGAGCTCCTTTTTTTGACGTTCTCGCGGGGGACTGGACCTTCTGATTCTGGTAGTCCAACACATGGAAAACATAGTTTCTCAGTTCATCTATTGCCAGGTTAGATACAAAATGGCAAATACCAATGACTTGGGGTGTGTCTAGAAATCTATTGAGGTTACATGGTCCCATCTTGAGGTAGGGCTGCATCCTTTTGACTTGCCATATCTCTATTCATCTGAAACATTGCATCATTTCATTTGCATAATGTCCCTCCGAAGAATGGCACTCTATGGCGAGGTTGTGATGAGCTTCTATGATTTGCCCATCAAAGAAGACCAACGGCTATCCAGCTCTTGGAGACGCCAAAACGAAAGATCTGAGTAGGAGATCGTCCTCCATTGATGGCTAGAACTCTTACAACGCCGCATGGTCTCAGATATGTGGATGCTATAACTTGCCTCGTCTGCCGAGGGGGCTGTGCCATCTTCCAGTACCATGGAAGGATCTCTGTGGTAGGTTCAGTGCTGGTCGGGCCTAAGGTGACGATGTCTCCAAAACAATTCGGAATGCAGGTAGGATTTTTACCCATATCTGATCAGTACCCCTTTTTCACCGTATAAAAAACACATTAAAAAAATATAAAGATCATTGATAAAACCCATTCTAAACTTCAACTAACACCTCCATCTTTTGGGTCTGCTGAAGTTCCTCTCCGAAAACGTGACCCGTGACCTGTGGCCACGGACAGGTCCGAAACCCGCTGGTTGTAGCCCACCGTGGGAAGGTCCATGGCTTTCCCGGAACGATGGGGAGAGCTGTCAGCTGGCCATGGAAAATCACCATGGCCTACCTCCATCGCCATCTATCCTATATCAGCTATATGATCCAATTTAATCTATATCATCTGATTTAATCTACTCTATTCTATTCTAATCTATCTACCTATCTTTCTTTCGTTCTTCTTTCTCTGTGCGTACTTGTTAATATAGACGGCATTTGGATACATAGCCCGCCGGACTTTCCAGCCGGTGGGTCATCTCCTACCACCTCATGGCCGATGGCTATGGGCTGCCACGGCTTCAAACCCTCATGATGGCTGCTTCCGGTTGTCCGCATAGGCTTAGGTACCCTGCATTCTTCGGATGTAGGATGGGTATGTGGTTCATACATTTAATAACTATATATATATATACATATTGTGCACATATACAATATATAAATAAATAAATAAATAAACAAATAGATAAATAAATATATATATATATACAGTAAATAACATATATATATATATGTCTACTATATATGGGTAATTCACCTAATTACCAAGGGCATTACAATACCTAGATCCACTTTGAAACATGGCATAACATGGCCTTAGAACGACTATTCGGATCCCATTCGGCCCTAGGTCCCATTCAAATGGCCAGGTGGGTCGTTCTCCTGGCATATCTTACGGAAAAAATCAAAAAACTCTTGATGCCAATCCCGGATTGATTAGCAGTTTTGGACATCAAGAGTTTTGGTTAACATTAAACAGAGTTACAGTAAACTTTTGATGATAAATTACTGTAACATCAAAATTTGGACAACCCTATGAATGACTCGGAGCTTATTGATTCTGGGCGCTGCAAGAGTCTATCATGTCATCCAATTGTGCCCATTTGTGGCAACAAATATTTCAAATAACATCAAATAACCCAAACACTAACCTACTCACCCAAGGGTTTACCCAAAAATATGCAGTACTTGGGCAAAATGGTGCATTCTTTCAACCTGAGTTCGAGATGATGGCATTGGGTCGGCTTGTCTGCATTTTAGCAGACATTTTGGCTGGCTGATTGGTGTTTGGGCCATTCCCAAAACCATGGCCACTTGGAACACTCATCAAAAAGGACGACAATACAGCAGAGTATCCAGTTGCTTCAAACAATAATCATCACAAAGCTTTTTGAATCCAAGATAAATCAAGCATAGTTGAACACCCCGAAGAAGCCAGCCCACAGATGTAACGCCAAGTCGGCCCCGGCCACGTTTCTGTGCAACCATTTAAAAAGTATCAACCAAATGCCACTGCAGGCACTGGCCGCGTTGCCCGGTGCTGCACTCAGCCCATCTTTCGGCGGTGCCAGCACTCGTGACTTTGGAGCCGGCCAAGCCCCAATGGCAAACGGACAGCCAGAAATCATTCACAATGAAAGCCACCAGAAATACTTGATCTCCCAGTCTGGATAATAGAGCCATTCACCAACACTACACATCCACAGCATTGTCCGTTTCGGTTCTGTTAAAGGACTGAACCTCCGCAGGTTCATCGTGCGAAAGGACGTCATAAAAACCACGTTCATCGCGCTCGCGCTGTTGGCGGCGCTTCTGGGCGATTTCCTTCCGCTTGGCCTTTTGAAACGCTTTCTGCTCAGCGAGGTGCGATTTCCGCTCCTGGGGATCCAGACTCAGCCGCATGGCACGAGCTGAGTATTCAAGGGGATCTTATCATAGCATATCATAGCATCATGCTATTAAACAAATAGAAAGTACTCTTAGGCTCTCAATGGGTACTTGGGTCATCGCTGTAATTTACCCCGGAATTGGCTTAAGGAAAAAAATGCACGAACCCCCTATAATTGGTGGAAAAAGATGGTAAAAGACCATGCTTTGCAGATTTTCCTTTGCACCAACCCATTGAAATAGATATGTTCGTGTTGGTTAGATACCCGTTTCTCTTAGTTCAAATCCCTCGAATCCCCCGCTGTTTGTTGGGTTGGCAATCGGTAATTGCCTCGCTTATCACTGTATATAATGGGTTCCCAAGCGTTCTGGTTACCACCACACGTATCACACGTCCTTGCCACGGTTGGTGTTGGAATAGTGTTCCTTCTGCATCAAACCATGTCGCCGTGCAGTCTTCCTACAGCGGGCTAGTGGTTGGTGGTAGCTTGGGCTCACCCTTTGAGAGATAGAATTACCAAGTGCCTAAGTACCAATGACACTTGCAAATTGACAACTGTCCTAGGGTGAAGCTGGGCACTCATTTTTTGTTGCTTCCATCGTGTTCTATCACCGCCATTCTTGGTTGCATTCACAATTTGACTTGGCTTTTTCCCCACATTTCCATATATACTGGTATACGGGCATCTTTGTGATTTCCAGCACTTGCCAGCCAAACCCATATCTCGCGAAGATCATGATCTCTACTCGCTGCCAAGCATCTTTCGTTTGAACATTGTAAAGCCTCACTCAGTGTCGACTTCCGGGTTCTTTGGGGGCAGCGATAAATTATAGCCCCAGCAGAGGGTTTAGATGCTATGCTGATTCGAATCAGTATTTGGGTAAAGCCAGCACGTGGATGCAACTGGTAGGATGCAAGGACGCGACCGACAAAAGCAGGGGCAACTGATATACTACCCCATCTAACTTATATAAAACTACCATAAACCCTAGTTATAGTAGTTATAAACCAACTTAGCTCTGTCTTGGGGGTCCTACATTTGTCACCTCTGAAATAAGGAGTTGGGGAAATTTAGTGGCAAGTTTCACGTAACCGACCCTCCGGCAATCAGCTCCATGCCTAGCTGGAAAACCCCCCCTGTATAGATAATGTTTCTATCAACGCCTCCATTTAGTTCGGGGATTTCCCATTCTCATCTTTGGATACCAAAGGGCAGGTGGCTGCCCATGGGATCATTGTTTATTTTGACCATCCCCGGCCGCAGATGGCTACTGTTTTCGGCCGTTTGGCAAAACGATATGGAAAACCACGATGACCACCATGAATCATGTCATCATTTAACGGGAAAGAACCATGGATTTCCATAGCGTTTCGGTGATATTCCATGATATTCCGGTATAGTCCCATCGTGTGCTGGTTGAATGCCCATTTATTAGATTCCCCATTAATTAAATCACAGCGAAATCCAGTCAGACTCAGTCTACTGCGGATTCAGCAGCTCTCTTTCCGGGTCTTTGGCATTAAAATGTTATTCTCCTTGGCCCAAGCTTTGTAACTTGGAAGACTTTCCTCAGCCCACAACATGGCTGAAAGTGTCCAACTTGAAATTGAGAAAATGAAGCAAAGCATACGCAAACGCGGATATATATATATATATACACATACATGTATATGTATAAGGACATGCATATATATAATATAATATATATAAAATATAACATATATAATATATATAATATATATAATATAATATATAATATATATATAATATTATATATATATATGCGGGCATACATACATTACATTACATACATTACATACATTACATACATACATACATGCATGCATACATACATACATACATACATACATAACATTACATAACATTAAAGGACCGGATAACCCCACATGTTACCAACTTCTTTAGACTTAGACTGAGCAGAGAAAGCGAGAAGGGAAGAGGAAGTATGAGAGTGATGGAGGGACGATGGTGGTATGTATGTAGGTAGGTGAGTTTGTGTGTGTGTGTGGGGAACAAACTGTTGGTGTGCCTGACATATTGAACACCATGTTATGTTTAACACACATTCAAAACAACCTCAGGCCAGCACCTCGCAACCCAAGACCTTGGCTCCTAAGGCGCTTGCGTTATGCATTCTGGCGCTTGTGTTGTGTTTCTCTGCTGTTGACCGAACCAGGCTTTGGCTCCTTATCAAAACGATGGTGTGCCTCAGGCCAGCACCTCGCAACCCAAGACCTTGGCTCCTAAGGCGCTTGCGTTATGCATTCTGGCGCTTGTGTTGTGTTTCTCTGCTGTTGACCGAACCAGGCTTTGGCTCCTTATCAAAACGATGGTGTGCTCACCATACTTTCGCTGACCAAAGTAATGTTCTGCACTCTTTCGAGCGCAGCCGCACATTTTGTGAATTCTTTCTGCATGCCCTGTGGCTGGTAAACATCGCTGGCACATGATGATGATGATGATGATGATGATCACGATGATGATGATGATGATGATGATGATGATGTCTCCGACTGACTGCTGCGGAACAAACATCAGTTCACATCGGTTCGTCCAATTTCTTAAAAAAAAACTCATCGTCAAAACTCCCGGAGGAGTGAGTGAGTGAGTGAGTGAGTGAGTGAGTGAGTGAGTGAGTTGAGTGAGTGAGTGAGTTGAGTGAGTGAGTTGAGTGAGATGAGATGAGATGAGATGAGATGAGATGAGATGAGATGAGTGAGGAGGTGAGTGAGGAGGTGAGTGAGTGAGGGAGGGAGGGAGTGAGGGAGGGAGGGAGTGAGTGAGTGAGTGAGGGAGTGAGTGAGGGAGGGAGTGAGTGAGTGAGTGAGTGAGTGGAGTGAGTGAGTGAGTGAGGGAGTGAGTGAGTGAGTGAGTGGAGTGAGTGAGGGAGTGAGTGAGTGAGTGAGTGAGTGGAGTGAGTGAGGGAGTGAGTGAGGGAGTGAGTGGAGTGAGTGAGTGCCACGCAAAAGCGGCGGAGACCAAGGGACACCGGAGGGACACCGGAGGGACGCCAGGGCGTACATCCGACCCCTTGGCAGTGCACATTGTCCCACGCCTGCCACGCAAAAGAGGCGGAGACGGAGGGACACCGGAGGGACGCCAGGGCGTACATCCGACCCCTTGGCAGTGCGCGTTGTCCCACGCCTGCCACGCAAAAGCGGCGGAGACCAAGGGACACCGGAGGGACACCGGAGGGACGCCAGGGCGTACATCCGACCCCTTGGCAGTGCACGTTGTCCCACGCCTGCCACGCAAAAGCGGCGGAGACCAAGGGACACCGGAGTGACGCCAGGGCGTACATCCGACCCCTTGGCAGTGCACATTGTCCCACGCCTGCCACGCAAAAGCGGCGGAGACCAAGGGACACCGGAGGGACGCCAGGGCGTACATCCGACCCCTTGGCAGTGCACGTTGTCCCACGCCTGCCACGCAAAAGCGGCGGAGACCAAGGGACAGCCAGGGCGTACATCCGACCCCTTGGCAGTGCACATTGTCCCACGCCTGCCACGCAAAAGAGGCGGAGACCAAGGGACACCGGAGGGACACCGGAGGGACGCCAGGGCGTACATCCGACCCCTTGGCAATGCACATTGTCCCACGCCTGCCACGCAAAAGAGGCGGAGCCCAAGGGACACCGGAGGGACACGGAGGACTGGCCAGGGGGCGTAAATCCGACCCTGGCAGTGCACATTGTCCCACGACTGCCACGCAAAAGCGGCGGGACCAAGGACCACCGAGGGACACCGGAGGGACGCCAGGGCGTACATCCGACCCCTTGGCATGCACATTGTCCCACGCCTGCCACGCAAAAGAGGCGAGACCAAGGACACCGAGGGACACCGGAGGGACGCCAGGGCGTACATCCGACCCCTTGGCAGTGCACATTGTCCCACGCCTGCCACGCAAAAGCGGCGGAGACCAAGCCAGGGCGTACCATCCGACCCTTGGCAGTTAGTGAGTGAGTGAGTGGTGAGTGTGAGAGGAGACGCGGCACGCAAAAGAGGCGGAGACCAAGGGACACCGGAGGGACACCGGAGGGACGCCAGGGCGTACATCCGACCCCTTGGCAGTGCACGTTGTCCCACGCCTGCCACGCAAAAGCGGCGGAGACCAAGGGACACCGGAGGGACACCGGAGGGACGCCAGGGCGTACATCCGACCCCTTGGCAGTGCACATTGTCCCACGCCTGCCACGCAAAAGCGGCGGAGACCAAGGGGCACCGGAGGGACGCCAGGGCGTACATCCGACCCCTTGGCAGTGCACATTGTCCCACGCCTGCCACGCAAAAGCGGCGGAGACCAAGGGACACCGGAGGGACGCCAGGGCGTACATCCGACCCCTTGGCAGTGCACATTGTCCCACGCCTGCCACGCAAAAGCGGCGGAGACCAAGCCAGGGCGTACATCCGACCCCTTGGCAGTGAGTGAGTGAGTGAGTGAGTGAGTGTGAGATGAGATGAGATGAGTGAGGAGGTGAGTGAGTGAGTGAGTGAGTGAGTGAGTGAGAGTGAGTGAGAGTGAGTGAGAGTGAGTGAGTGAGTGAGTGAGTGAGTGTGAGATGAGATGAGTGAGGAGGTGAGTGAGTGAGTGAGTGAGTGAGTGCGTGAGTGAGTGAGTGAGTGAGTGAGTGATGAGTGAGTGAGTGTGAGATGAGATGAGATGAGTGAGGAGGTGAGTGAGTGAGTGAGTGAGTGAGTGAGTGAGTGAGTGAGGCGGGAGGAGGAAGAGGAGCGGATACAGAACTAAAAACAAAAACCCCACACGTCAATGTGGGGAAATGTGGGGAATTACAAAACATTACATTGCATTACATTACATTACATTGCATTACATTACATTACATTACATGACATTACATTACATTACATTAAATTACATTACATACATCCAATTTCAGGAGGCCGGGCCAGGCCCAGCTTTCCACCGCACACGATGACAGCTTTCCAGATGGGACCCACGGCAGCCAAAGATCTGCGCAGATTCTTCGCCTGGCTTCTTCAATGAGTTTGACATCAGAATCCTCCTGCGAGGAATGGTGAACATGATGCATTTGAATGATGACTGATATGACTTTTTTGGGTGGAATTTTGATGACATTTGGGGCTATTCCAAGCAGTTCCTGCTGGAGGTTAGTACGGAGAGACCTGAACACCTGGGGTATTTTATTGAATCTCCTAAGTTAACCAATATGAACCAAGCAGTGGAAAAAAACACCTAAAAAATATATAACTATGACATATTATGACTACCATTGACTACCCCATTTTACAGGTTATATAAATGAAATCCCGAATTTTTGTTGGGTCTATCCAAATCCCATATCTTTGAAGGCCAAATCCCGCAATTTTACCTCCACAAATTGTGTCCTTCACTTCCTCCGAGGTGTAGTCGCACATCTCTGTCAACAACTCTTGCATCTCGTCCAAAATGCCCTGCAACCTTTCCTGCGCAGCCCCGTGCATGCTAATGAAGCAAAAAACGGGTAGTCTATGCACCATCAAGATGAATGGATCCAGGACAAAACTATAGTTTCTAAGGAGATATGTGACATTCGGGGAATGGTATTTTCGTAGAATTGGTGATCCATGACATATGCAAGGCCTTCTCTTCGCTTCGCTGTGCTGCATCCCCTGGGCTCTCCATAGCCGATGCCTGACGGTCAGCCTGGGGAAAGGCCCAAAAAAGCGGAGTTGGACCAAGGTTTGGCTTAGTCTTAGCTTAGTCATGAAATATTCCAATCTTTTAGTTTCAAACAAAGGAAGAATCATGGGAGTCGGAATTGCCATAAAGTGCTTTTTTGAAGCCATTGTGCAACTATGGACAGAACTTTTTCACATACCAGGTTTCAAGCTTTTTGAAACTGATCCATGTTCCTTTTGAAACTGGTTTTGCCATTTGACACACTTTCACACTATTCTGATAAAGAGCAGGGCGTCCAGAAACCATGCGAGTAAGATACGTTCTCGTTCGGAGATGGCTTTCATCCCCCACATTTTGGGTGTGAGCGTTTTCTCCACATTTCGGTTGGCGCCAGTCTCCCGATTTTGCTTGATCCTGTCAGTCAGCTTTATTCTGACAAATTTCCAAAACCTGAAGTATAGCAACCCACGAACAGGATAGACAGGTGTGTCCAGCATGTTAGTTCCACACGGCACTTTCTTTACATGGGGGATCCCCAAGTCACCATAGGTTTACCAAAATGGTCATCCATGACGACTGGATGATTTGGAGGTACCCCCATGGCTTCAGAAACCTCCAAGTTCCATGATGCTTCCCCATCATTCCAAGGGTTTCCAACTTTGGCTTGCGAGCTTGCGCCTCTGTGAGCCTTGGCGACGAGGACGAGCCCTGGCAGCCCTTCAACGGCCTCACGATTTTTTTCCATGGGCAGATGCCATCCAAATCTGAAAAAAAGATCAGGGCCTCGAGTAGACCTAACGCTGTAGCACCACCGCCACCTGTTGCTTTTTTTGTCAACTTCCACCATCTCAAATCACCATTTTGAATGTTGGTTAAAGTTAAACCGCTTGTTTCTACCTTTGCAGGTTTACAGCAACTACTGCTCGATATTCTTTCATGGTTAAATCTCCAATTTTTCCATCATTTTTTCTCATCTAATCCCTACATATCTGGAGCGCCGACATCCCCCCGCCTGCGCGCCGCCACCCAACAGGCAGCAATGACCGTAGATGCTGGGGCCAGACGCGGTGGTTTCAACGGCTGCACCCGGAGAGGTCTGGGAGGCCTGTGGTGGAGTGGTAACTGGTAAAGCCAATGCCATAAAACCTACCAACTGGGGATGGAAAACATACCACTGATTGAAGTAGGGTGATTTTGCAGGTGTTTTTTTAACTATTATAATTAATTATCGTTATTATTACTATAATAATAATTATTATTTATCATTATTATTATTATTGGGTCTACATGGGTTTACCACATTAATATGAAATGATATGAAAAATGTCTCCAAATCCACGGGATATCCATGGTTTTGATCCCAGGTTTTGACCCATCATGCTGGGAAGATGAATATATGTAAAATATGTACGTATGCATGGTATGTATGGTAGGTATGATACGCATATCATCTTGATATCACCTGTATATTCGAGAAAATGATCATTCGATGATGATCATCATGTAACATGTGCAAGGCACATTCCAGGATAGGTCAGATTGGTGGTTGGGGATGCTGGCTACGGTTGGAACTTGCAAATTCTGCTCGTGAATTGGAGCGATTAGCAACCCTTCGAAGAGAACAAGCATTTCAGCAAAGCGAAGCTTAAGTTATCGTTTTTTTTTTTCCGTTTCGCAAGTTTGAATTTGCTTCAACTTGCAACGGACAGAGAAACCTTCCATGTTCATTCAACATGTACATGTATACATCAAAAAAACAATATTCATGAAATGCCTAGCAAATCACACCAGCGGGAAATTAAAGTGCCTGTTTGCAACGTCACTGTCCGAAACCATGGAGTTTACAAAAAAAACGCATCCTTTCCAGACGCAAAACATGGCAGAAACAATGGGTACCAAACACTTCTGATCTCAGGACCAGTCCTCAGGATTGGAGTCGCACGAACTGGCGCCTGAGATTGCTGACAAGTCTATGCGAGGGAGCCTCAGAAGAGGCGTCATCTCAGAAAATGTGAAGTTTTCATCAACTTTATTCCATGAAAATGAGGAAAAAGCAATTCAGGGACCCCTTCAGCTTTAAGAGCGAATACCGCAACTCAAAATGCAAAACCCCAAGACACGCCTTGAAAAAACACATTCGAAAAAATCTGGGCGAATCGTAACAATTCCCAAACCTACAAAACCACAAATTTCATAGCCAAGCTTGCACACCCTACACAAAATCATTTCAGCTGGTTGTTTTCTCGCCGTATTCTCCCATTTATTTCGAAAGATTCGGACTAGCAACTACCCTTCATACCCTGCACTAACATATCGTTGACAGCTTACATGCTTAGATCTAATATATATATAATATATATATATATATAATATATATATAATATATATATATATTATAAATATCTTGTATGCTTACCCAACTTTTAAGAATATCCCCCATATCTTCCCATGATTTTTCGGGACCATGGCCAATTCAGCACATCTCGCCTGGAAAGTCAACATGGCACCAGAGCGAGCCAGGGGCTGGGCGGCTGTCTGAAATTTATATATGTTCCTGTTGAAAAAGGTTCAGATGTGACTTGAAGATCTGAAGATATTTTCCAGATAAAATGATTCTGTGATTTTTCAAAATGTTCTAAAAGTTAGAATCTGAGAATCGACAACACCTTTCCTGGCTGCACAGCTGCCCAATTGCTGCTGGCCTCGCCTCCTGCGAGGAACCATCAGTAATGTATCGTAGAGCCACTTTAGGTAGAATGCCCAACCATGGCCAACCCTCCAAACTTAGCTACCCTGGCCCAGTTTGAAAACCACGGTGTTCTGAATGCCAGCGAATATTTTTTCGCAACAACAAAAAATCACCTGCTTTTTTCAACCAGTCGCTTTACACAGCAACAATTTCACGCCTTTTTTCCAGTGGCCAGCGATGCCTCCGTGTTTATGAGGCGATGCCGGCGGACGCAGCTGCAGCATTACTACATGGATCAGCTAAAAAAACACCTGAAGTTTTGGGCGAAAAAATGACCCATTGAGTTTTGTGCAACATGGAATTAACGAGCTAATGGTCGATCCTTCAAAATTGGATGGCTCACTCAGTAAAATAGGGATATAAGGATTTCAGCAATAAGGAAATATGTTTGCTGTTTACCTTCCTTAGAACGAAAAAACCACCATTTCTGTGGGCCCATGAAAGAACGAGTTTGCTCTGAACTTCAGGTGAATCATCATGGGCACGCAGCGTCCAGGCCGACTGGCGTTTGAACGGGCTGCATGGAGAATCCCCATCAACTCACCGTCAAAAACCGGGACCAAGGAGCAGAAACCGAAGAATATTACATATATATATATATACATATAGATATATTACATATTACCATAAAATACCAATGGCTACTGCGAAAATACGATTTCAATTCCAACTACACACCCTTGTCTATTAAAAGATAAGCCGTTCAGCCCAACTAAGATTAATCCAGAGCACTGGAACTGCTGCGTGCCCATCCCGAACAAAGGCCCGTTGGTGTTCAACGGGCCGCGGCACTCAAACGCTCGGCAATGTACTGCTGACGTTCGGCCTTGAAAAACGAAGCGAACGAGGCCAAGGGGCTGAGAAAATGCATGGATTGGGCTGATCTTTTGACATCCAGACTCTTAAAGATGCATATTTCCAGTCACAATTTCGTGTCATAGTTCCAAGGTCATCTGGTGGCATGACCCCTTCCCAGCTTCGGCTTCCTCGTGGCAAGGTACATCCAAAAATGCTTGACGATTCGCTCTCACTTTCTGTAACAATCCCAACCCTGAAAGGCTTCACCCCCTGATGGATCAACCGTGATCAATCCCAACTTTTCTTAATGCCATCCATCTTTTTAAATCGACAAAAGCTTTTTCCCCCCCCAAAAAAATATCCGTTTCTGGGCGAGGAAAAAACTCTAAAGCATGTATAACTGCATGCTCTCCCGGTGCCGGACCTCGATCTCTGCTTTCATCTCTTCCACAGACATTTCCTCGGCACAGGGTCGCTCTGAGGTCAGCATGGTGCAACGGATATGGGGTGAATTCCGTTTCTGTTCTGCAATATCAACACATATCATATATACGTTTATTTATAACACATATACCGGTATGCATTTTTTTGTCCTAGTTCCTAACTACAGTAACTCCAACTCTACAACACGCCTTTTTTCTTCTTACTTTATCCAGCTACTACCGAGCTGTGTATAAGAAATATCCATATGTATATGTGTATATATGTATATGTATATGTATATGTATATGTATATATATGCGTATTGCATACGGGTTTTGCTCCACTCAGAAACTCGCTGGGGTGCACATCGAAGTGTTCATCACTAGTGATTTGTAGTGCTAGTCATATTGGTGAACTTTGGTGACAATTGAGACAGCTCTGGTTATCTAAGGGATATCAATATGTACTGGGGAGATCTCTCTCCACCATTTTTTGGGGAGACTAGGGAGATATAGCACCAGTTTGGTCATCTAAAATGCTGAACATATCCAACCCACAGTAATTCGCAGGATAAATGCCCTCAACAGTGGCGAAGTCCTGATCTTGGACCCATTCCCATGCTGGTGCGTCGTTGATGAACCATTCCCATTTTTCATCACAAATTCCATCGGGTAATCAAACGTGGCAATTGACAATCCTCTCATTTATAGATGATTTTCCCCTTAAAACCTCTATTTATCAGGAGTTTCCCATTGCCACCTTTCATTACCAGAGGGTACAACGATCCATTCATATTGATTCATATGATTGCTTCTTTAAAAAATAACCATTGATAGTCCCATTTTTCATCTTTTCTCATGGCAAAATCCATCATGATTCCCCAGTGGTTCAGCCAAGATTCCCTAAAGCCCACCGCTGCTGGGCCAGGACTGGCCCTCAATGTCACCTCCGACGCCGCACGGCTCACACGCCCGCAGCTGGCGCGGCTGGCGCGGCTGGCGCGACCGCTGCCCACGGCGGATCGGGCCTAGGAATGAAACTTCGAAGTCTTGTGGTGACTTAGCCAATCCCAAACATACGCCATCTCATCCCTTTTGGATGGTTTTTCAACATGTTGAAAAGTCATGAAAAGTATTCAATATCCCCTTGAAACCATATGAAACCCCCATCAGTGGTCATTCAGCATGTCTCCAAGGCACCGATTTCACGCTGCCGGAGCGTTGCCTTCCGCCCTGGGGACGTCCAGGAAATCGGTCGCTGAGCGACGCCACCGAGGCACTGCGCAGCGATGCGTCGGAGCGGCTGGAGGAGCGCGACAGCTGACGTGACGGCGGGAGCTCCAGGTCCAGTGGAGGCAAAGTCCTTGGAATTTCTGGATGGATCATTGGATGGATCATCCAGAAATCAACATCTAAGGCATATAACTATGGGATATTATGGAACAAAAATAGATCTGATGATATTTTTATCCAACAGCATAGTTTTTGAGATATCTCTGATGGGATACGGTACATATATCTAATGATAAGGGTTCTAATGGGATTTTGATGGGATACTTGGACTTTTAGAAACGCGGTGGCTTGTTCCACAGAACAGGATTTGCGAACGAAGACATGTTTGGCCGTTTGGCCCATCTAAACTTCCGAACTTGTGGGTTCATGCTATAAAGCTCTCCATCTTCTAGATTTCACTATCTGGGCAATTTGATTGAAGAGGAACAAACCAGAAATAGATAATTCTTGGGATTATTCCTCTTACTAGTACTAGCCATCCATCGTTTCTTGGCATTTTTTTTTGTGAAGTCTCTACTCGCTGGAACAATTCAGACAGATCTATCGATATCTGATTTGGCTTCACAGGACTCGTGCTTTCATTTTTGACTGGAGAATCATCAGTGGAGATGTTCCACCAAATTCACAGGTTGGACGGACTTAACCCATCCCAAAAATATGCTCGTCATATCAACCAGTCATCCATTTTGTATGGTTGAAAAACAATAAATGTTTCCCCACCCCGTCTATGACTTCCTCCTTTTTCGGGCGTCCATTTTTGAATTGTCCAAGGGGAGAGTCTATACTTCAGCTCCTATCCTCGCACATGTTGCTCGCTTCCATGTGAGTTTTCGGGTGGCAAATCACCAAACGACACCTGGATATGGTTGATAGTCTGAAATTCCAATCTTTGCGAGTGAAAATCCCGCATGTTTAAGATGTATTTGTTTCTTGATCGAACACTTTATTGTTTGGAATATCTTTCTGCTGAATAGAAAAGTTCTGGCTACATAACACCTTGAATGAATAGCCTAGACTGAAACAAGGTGTATCAGTTTACCAGGGCCTACCCAATTATATCTTACTTATATCCCAATTATGAATCACTTCAGTATATAACAGACCTCAAAAAGATGAAGAACAGTGAACTTCAATTCTAGAATCTATTGAAATTGTGGACCCTTTCTGCATCTGCAAGGCACACGGCAAGACATACTTTTACAATCTCAAAATTCAAAATCTTGGGTTTTCACACTATATGAGTCCAGTTGTGCCCAATTATATCCCAACTACCTCAATCATATCTTAAGTATATCATATTCCAATCATAAATGACTCCCTTCAGTCTAGATTGCGTATAGCAACCGAAAAAAGATAGTGTTTCCAGGATGCTAGTTCCCATTATCCCAAGAGTTTTTCATGATATGACTGGGGGGGTGCTATCAAACATGATCAAACCCATCTAAAACCAACCTAAAACCCATCATTTCCCCTTTTCGCCACCTGTCCCCACCTGTCCCCAGCCATCCCAGCCATCCCAGCTGTGCTCAGTTTCGAGGGAACGCGACTTTTCCGTGGCGTCTCGGCCGAGGACGACAGGCTCTGCACCGGGGGAGGCGGCCAACCCGTGGGCGTGTGCGGTGCCAGGGGATGGGGACCGAAGGGTGGAGCTTTGCTGGTGCGGTGCTCCTGAGCCGGTGGCCAAACAGGTTTCACCAAGGAGAACCACAGTGGCTGTGGATGGCTGCGAATCCTGAGTTGGTAGATGGTTTATCTGTTTATCTCCTCAGAATCCCATGAAATAAAGAATGTCTATCCCCTTATCCCATGATAGTCCCAGTGTTTCATAGGAATCCCAATAGTTACCAAATGGTGATTTCTGAACGATCCACAGTATGGGGATTTGCTGGCATTTTTAAGCACCATTGTCTGATATAGTCCGAAAAACTTGAGGATGTTTTCCCACAAAATGCAACTTGCTCTTGAACAAATGACGCCTTAGTGGGGCAATGAGTCATGAGGTTTTATATAATTTGATGAATGTGGACCCATCCAAAAAACAACTATGATTTGTGGGGGCCACTACAATGGAGATCAATGGAGATAGCGTTGATAGCGTTGAATATGAATTGGCTTATCCAGAAACGCAAGCTGCGGGCATGCAGTAAATGGCAAAGTGATGTTTGAAAACACGGAATGGAACGGGTGGGGTGCCCTAGTTTCAGACAAACCCGGCCTTCAGACCCAGGGTTTTGAACTATTCAATCGGGTTTATCTCCATGTTTTCCCAACAAGCATTGGTGGCGACATATGTTTGTTAAGCAATGTTAAGCACATATCAGCTGGGGTCCCACATCTAAGTAGTAACCAATGACATGCCCACAACCGAAGTCGAAGTGTCTTCCGCCAAACGCAGGATGCTTCCCAACACGCTGTGGCGACGTTGCAAGTCCTCGGCTTCGCCGATGGAGGGTTGAGTCGCCCATCCCAAAACCATAAGCAAAGTGAGAATGGGATCATCATTGGTGGGATGCTATACGAAAAACAATAACACATAATAACACGTAATTTCACACCACTTAAATGTGAAACCACCCCGGTTCCAATGATCTATAAGCATGTCTCATCTTGGATACCCTGCCACAAACATGCTTTTTTGGTTATTCTTTTAGACCTGGTTGGTATCTCTCTCTCTCTCTCTCTTTATTTCAAGAGGTGAATTCACGAACTAAACCATAGCCTTCACCAAGGTATAATGTGGGTAAAACAATGTCATAAACCAGCCATGACTGGGAATGGTAAACATACCACCCATAAAAATGGTGATGACTGGGGGATGGTGCAAATGGCATTGTTTTACCAACATTGTAGTTATAGTATGTTATAGCTGTACTTATATATATAATATGTATATATGATACTACACACTAAACAATGTGGGGCCCACCAGTTATGTTTGTTGGTTTATAAACCCCATGAAAACTATAGTTATAGGTATCATAAACCATAGTTATTGAAGTTATGTTCGCCAACTTAGCTATCGTCTGGGGGCCCCACATTGTAGTTATATCATCTATTGTTTACCCACCCCCAGTAGCACCAAGACGCGATCAACTGGTCCAGCGCTGTTTGTTGCGGGCTTCCCTGCAGCTGACCCATCAACGCCAGGGCCGCGCTCGGTAGCGCCAAGCCTCGGGAAATCCCGTGGTTTGTGAAATTGGAGGTACCTACCATATATAAGGCTTATATAAGGCCTATGTATAAGGCTTATATAAGGCCTATGTATAAGGCTTATATAAGGCCTATGTATAAGGCTTATATAAGGCTTATGTAAGGGAATATCCCCACAACATATGGCTTTATATGGTACAGTACCTGGACAGTACCTCTAATCTAGAATCTGAAATTGCTATTGATCAGACCCTCTAGGAAACTAACAGTTTGCTATCATAGCTATGGAAGATGGACCATTTAAATGGATGAAAATGGACCATTTAGCTCGATGATTTATACCAGGGTTTACCGAAACAATTCCATGTTTTATCCATAGTTTGGTTAGTTTACCAAAGGGTGTGATGTATATAGTATATAATGAACATGAATGAAATTAACGTGGAACCCACAAAGTCCTTTGTTGTTGCTTTCTTTCCTGCGCTCCGTCATACATTTTGGTGCAAATCAGGAAAGTAGGATACAGTACCACATCCAACCCCAACAGCGATTGGCTGGTTGACATCCCCTCAAACTGGAGAGGATATCCTCGTGTGGTTGTCACTTCAAAAACCAGAAATAGATTGTAACCACCGTCGCTACCCGCCAATATCCGCCAATGAACACACCCAATATGAATCATATATGAAAAAGTGCAGGAGGGAGTAGTTCATGGGGACACTTTCTCTATCTATGCAACGTGGTTTACCGCACAATAGTGCAAGAACCTAATGAATTCCCCTTGCTACACCCAAAATGAAATCATTTCAGATCGCAAAAAGGACCGGTTGATCATGTGGCAGGTCCATTGGTGCCCCATTTGCACTCCGGCAATCTAAACTGGCAATAGATCATAGAATAAAAACATTCAAACCCATCATTCAGGAAAAAAAACCATGGATCCTATATCAATCACCAATTGCGAACAGATCTGGATACAGCAAAATAATAATAGTTCAATAGTACTATAATACAGATCTTATCACCAATAGCAATAGTACCAATTAATTCGTATTTAGCAGATCTGGATCACCAATGACTATGGTTCACTAGTCTGAAAAGTTGGACTCTTTTGGGGTCACGCCAAGACGCTGCTCAGCTCCTTCGCAAAGCTTTTGAAGTCCACTTCCAAAGCCTTTGGATCAATTTGGGAAGCTGCTACAGGATGGGGCCCCCGTTGGATAGCGTTCAGTTGCCTGATTTTTGTGGCTGAACTCTATGGTTTATGGTAGATATAACTATAGTTAATGGGGGTTATAATGGTTTATAAACCAACTTATAACTGGCAAAGACTTGTTCCACTGGCAAAGATCGATGGTTTATCGTTAGCTGGTGCCAAGTCAAGGCATCAGAACCACTGATCAAGCTGTCTTGGACAAAGCGCTGCAATGATAGGTTCACTACCCATAAATGGAGGTTACTGGTTCTGCAATGCTTAGGTGATTCGAAGGGAATCCACTTCATCAACTCCAAGGGCAAAAAGGGGACCCCGAAAAATCATGAGACACTTGGGGAAATTTGGGGCCGCTGCGAATGGGAAAACATACTGTATCATACTGTATCCTGTTCTGGATGTCCCCCAATTTTTGAAGACATTCATCGCCAGTTACCTCCGTTTCTAACGGGGGCTCAGTCCTTTTCCAAGCCACATCAACTGTGAGCATGATGCCATTGTCCTCATCCTGGGTTTCAACTGAATTGATCCCCTTTTTTTATTCGGCAATCTGCGACATCCTGTTCAAAACAGTTCAATCGGCGATGTTTGAATCCGAGTCACCGAATTCAAGAGCCAATGATGGTTCAATTCCAAGATATTCCAAGTGAGATGTTTGAAATCACTGGGTTGGTGGTTTAAATACCCGTGGACAATATTGGCTGGGGATATCCAAAATGTGGTCGAGAACAAGAAACACAGCGTTTGAAACCACCAGTCAATTACTGCTTCTATTGAGTGCTTTTGGATAAATAAGCAAGTCAAATTCTGTGATAAAAATTGTTCCACTTCCAAAGCTCCAATACATGCAGTTCACGCAGGGCACAGCCAAACAATGACCCATGAACTCCAGAAAAAAGAACGACATGACATTCAACACCTTTCAACAGGTTTCAACATGCCTCAACTGGTTGCAAAGTAAACTCCCAGCATCCCAATCAAAATGGGAGAAAAACATCATCATCTTCCTATCCCCAAACCCCCCCCACCCGCCTAAGAGGATCATCCCACGGATCATAAGTGGTACGCCACTTTAATAAGTCCCCCAAGTGGGGGTTTCCTGTACTTAACTGGCTTCTAAGTATGGTTACCAACCACCTACGAAGTGCCCAGATGTAATTTTCCAAGAATTATCCCGAATTGCATAGCTCTTCATAGTTGTTCATTGTTTTTTCCCCATGTGTTTCCGATTTTTTCCCAACATTCTCCACTTGTACAGTGCCCTGTGTGGCTCCTCCTCCGCCACCATGGCTTCCTTCGTGGCGGCGTGGACCTGCTGCTGATGCCGCTGCGCGCGGCTGCGCAGCTGCTCCGAGGGCGCCCAGGACGGCTCCGCGCCACCAGGGACGGCCGCGACGACGCGGTCGGCGCTGTTGGACCGGGAACGGCGCACCGGGCGCTGGCTGCGGGCGGATGGGAGCTCTTCGTCGCCAGGGAGAAAGTCCTGGAAGGATGTAGCTGGAAACAATCTAGATTTAGAATCTATATCCACAAAAAATATCAAACACTATCAACAAATAAGATCTAAGTCTATGGCAGTCTATGGCTACAATCCATTCCCAATGGGGGTGACATAGGCAATGCAACCATAGAGGTGGACATTTTAGGATGATGGCATGAAACCACCTGATTCCAACTTTTCCTGGTAAGTTTCTGGGAAAAACAACAGCTTGCTATCTTTCCAGGTCATCCATTTATCATTTATGGTTTTAACCATTTTTCACCTACATTTTCCCTGCAACTCACCCAGTTGTGCAATATATTCAGTGTCTCACAATGAACACCATCATAAACATCCAGGTTCAATGTAATGTCAACCCTTGACTAATAAACCATGGTTTTTCAATTAGGGTGGTAAACCCCAAAATAGTGGTAATCTAATACTCAAACGGTACCTCCCCAATCAAACAGCCGAGGGATTTATTAGTCCAGGGTTGACATTACATATGAATATACATGATATGTAAATATATATATATGTGGCTGGTGTATCAGGTTATGTTGGGACTGATGTATGAATGGGATTATTTCATCAACTCAATCAGGAATGGAAGGGTTCCAGTTTCCTTCCGTTCTTTTTTTGGGGTGGGCTTCCTCCAACAGTCCCCGTTCATTCTGCTTCCACCCAGCTTCTGTGAGCATTCGCTCGAAGCAAGTGCGCTCGTGTTGCTGTTGGGTGGCAACCACCAGTAGCTGAGCGCCTGAGGCATGGATACTTCAGCTGAACTCCTTTCCAACTCAACAGAAACGGTCTACTGCAACATACCCTCTAGTAATTCATAGCATAGCTATGGGAAATCACCGCTTTTAGAAAGTAAATCATTGAACTTTCTATGGCTATGTTCGCTATGTTAGTTGGCCGATTACCGGAGGGTAACAGCTTCCGCTACTGAGGCCGGGCCCGCTTCTCCCTGGAGTCACTAACATGGCTTAGCTTTCAACAAGAAGTTTTCATCATGGTTGGGACATGTTGTGAATTAACTATATTGATGGATTGATGAAATAGTGAATTACATATTGAATTACCAACTATAGTCAATAACATTATATATTGATGGTCAATATAGTCAATTCACAATATGGATTGTCCATAGCAACATCTCCGGGGATGCACCTCCCTAGGTCCCTCCCAGAGTCCCAGGCAAGGCACAGTAACGGCACTTCACAGGTCTCAACTCACCTGTGGCTGAAAGGTACATAAAGGTACCCCCCAATAAACTGACAAAACTATGGAAAATTACCATTGTTCATGGGCAAATCATTTGTACATGGGCCAAATGGACCATGTTTCATACCTAATTATATTGAATTACCAAAGGGTATTCCAAAGGTTTTGCCACTCATTTCGGTACGGCTCAACGCTTCTAGACGCCCAAACTCACAGGTTTTTCGCCGTCGCCAACGGTAAGCCATCCCAATTCTGCGTCCATCCAACATGGTTGGGGGATGGACGCATCATAGATTTCACCAGCAAAACACTGGATGACATCTGCTACCCTCTGGTAATGACTAACAGTGTGCTATTGAAAATGGCTATAGAAGTAGTGGATTTTCCCATTAATAGCATGGTGATTTTCCATAGTTATGTAAACGTTTACCAGAGGGCAACCACTAAAAGAACATCCGGCAACAATTCATGTGAAGTTCTCCGGAGGTTTCTAAACCCTGGCTGATGAATCAAGATCCTCCAACAGTGACAATTCCCCTTCCAACAAAAACCCTGTCCAGTTCAACAGGCCATGCATCAGCTTTCCATCCGTGAATAGATCTGCCCTTCTTTTTCACAGTGAAAGAGCCAGAATGACCAAATTACATCAAATTACCTGAACCATCATTAGACATACAAAATGCAACCTTAAATGCCTTCAAAATTCTTCTCAAACTCGTGAAACATCACCCCAAGCAACAAGAACAGCCAAGCGGCTCCGATTTTCTTGGCCACCTGTGCAGGGCTGGGTTTGTGAAGGGCCTTTTTAATCCGTATTCTGCTGGGGTTGCATCACCGTTTTGGCGGCCTGAAGTTGCTGAAATCTATTGAAGCTTCATAAATATTTCTACTGTATATAAACCCCACATTTTGCCAGTGGCAATTTGCTCACCATTTCTCATACACTGCGTAAATAGTTGGTTAGTAATATCTTTGCTTTCATAATCATTTACGGCAAAAGATGAAACTACTGAAGGACTCTAAAGTACTCCTCCTCCAAGGTCTTTTCCAGTAAAATCAATCAAGTTCATGATTTTTCTCATATATATATATCATATACAATCACACACATATATATATAGTCATATAGTGTATTAGACATTCAATGTTTTGGTCCCATGTTTTTCTACCAATTTTGACCTTAAATTGCTGGCGCCTTGCGCGGCGCTCTCGAGACTCTCAAGGCCAGGTACAGCTACAGCTCCAGCGTGCTTGCGCCGCTCCAGGCCTTCCAGGGATTTCAGCCAGGGAGCACGCTATGGGATGATAAGGAAATGATAAGGACATACTATTGGAATATTATATTGGAATATTATATTGGAATATTATATTGGAATATTATATTGGAATATTACGGGGTAATAACAATGATAAGGATAATATATATTTCATGAGTGATCAATGATAAGGAAATATGATTCGAATCTGATTGGAACATAACTGGAATATGAGTAATCCATAGTAATCCCTGATAAGGACATAGCTATGATCCTGGACTTATGAATAGTTATGATAAAACATATTTCTTGGAATCTGATTGGAAGATAACTGGAGTATTTTCGTCGAACATGGTGAAAAATCTCAGTATATGAATAGAAGATGAATACGATTGGAATATCAGGGAGCAATTGTGATTTCATTAAGCCATATTAAGCCTATAATAGTGGGATGAAACCCATCAATGGGGATTAGATGGATTTCGTGGAGATTTTACACTCGGATCATCGAAACCGAAACGGGGAGATGTTCCATTACCATGGTAATGAATACCACGGGGGTAGCAAAAATGTGGATTTAGGATATCTACCCTCTGGTAAACTAACATAACTATTGAAAATCACCATTTTCAATGGGAAAATCCTCTATAAATGGCCATTTTCAATAGCTATGTTTGTTTACCAGAGGGTAGGTTATTGCATCCAACAAAACAACTGGACCGTTATCCATGAACAATGGGGATTTGTTCATGAGCAATGGGGCACCCCCAAAAAAACGATGTCCAGGGGAATTTGATGTCGTCCTTCATTATTTATTCCTCCCAGTCGACAGCTCATGCCTGAGAATCGGCCAATTTCGCAACCCATGGGTCCCATGGGTCTATCTTAGGTGGGAGCTGAATGCCTTAGAAATCGAACTTCCATTTGGGGGTTTCTGAAGTCATGGGGGATCATGGGTTTCAACACTAAAATCTACTAAAATGGTCGTTTATGACTTGGATGATTTGGGGGTCATGACTTAGGAAACCTCCAATTCTACTTCTCTTGAACCCACCAAACCATTCGCTCGGCCTCGAATCAAAGGATGATCCTCCTAACAAGGTGATCCGCAGCAGCAGGGACATGGCCAATCACTTGGAAACTGAAGGTGTTTTCATGTAATTTCTGGGACCAATTTTCACCAGTACCACATCAAGGTACGCTTGGGGAGCTACTATACCATGCTTGGTGTGTCTCTCTCACCAGGTGGGCAAAGTCTTGTCCTGGGAAAAATGCCAAAGCACATGAGCGGGAATAGCAAGAAATGCAGGTTGCCGACTTAAGTATCTAGCTCTTGGCCCTTGCAAGCTTAAAAGCTGCCAGAAAGTCTCCGTCCTCTGCTAGAAACCTATAGGAACGCTTAAGTGCTGATTTAAAAAGGCTGGCGCAATCCCACAAGTTGTCCTTGGTTTCTCGTTCTGGAGGATGACGAAACCTGAAAAAAAAAGGTGGAGAGGGCATTGAACGGCATGAAGGGGTTGGAACAAGTTGGAATCAACATTCTCAACACTGATAGAATATGAAAGACATATAGAATCAGTACGAATCTGAATTGGCAGAAGAAATTCGAGGCTTGAATGTATTGAAAGCGTGATTTCGCCCGAACGGCCAAAGTGCCACGCTCATAACTCCTTTTCGAAAGGTCAACCACTGGGCATGGCTGAGCCCATCTACCCAGCAGTTGAGCTACAGTAACTCCAATGGGAATTCTATATTGTACTATATAAATTGCCCAATTTGCGGTCAACATTTCACCATATTTCATCATGTTTCACCAAGCATTCAAGAATTGAGCAGTGTTCAAAATCCCTCTATCATTCCATTTGATCCTGGTTGGTTTATAGAGATTCCCCTGTTGGAGCATTATAATCCCCAATATATGAAGGGTAGTAGAATCCCCTATAATCATCAACCAACAGGGGTTTAGCAGCCACTGCTCAATTGGTTTTCCTCAAAAGTCGTCCCAAAATCCTGCCCCATGCGGCATCAGCCACACCTTGGAACCGCTGGACGGCGTTCGAACTCCTGCGATGCAGCTTGGATGCCGGACACCCCAGGGCGTAACCCCAAAATGCAGGGTCTAAGTCTACAGTCGACATACCTTCGGATTTGGGGGGTTTAGTGTCCAAAGATCAACACACATGGGGACTATCATCTGAGGATCATCATCTTCTAGGATGGAACATTTCAACTCAACATGGGCTAACGGTCCAGCTAGATACGGGTTTACCTTGATATATATATATATATATTTTCTGAACTATGTTTTTTGGTTTGTGTCTTCTTTCATAAATTTTTGACGATAGAAGGTTTGACGAAATCTGGGGTCAACAGATGACGTTTCAACTGATGAACCAAGGGCCGTGACAGGTGCAGGATCTATATCTATGTTTAAGGGTTAAATTCTCGTAGCAGCTGGTTCAAAATGCTTGGGTTCAATTTCTCTTATCTGCAAGCTTTCCAGGTATATCACAACATGCTCAATTCAGCTTCAAGCCCTTTTTGTTTGCACACTGTGTTTGCTTGGAAAAAACTAGAATTTTAAAGACATTTTCCCCAAAGATTTCCAACTTTTCAGCCTTTTTCCCCAACTTTTGCTGGTTCCATCCCTTCTGCCTCCTCGCTCCGTGGCGCCGGCGGCGGATGCCGGAAGCGAGGCACCGCCGGGCGCTTCTCGGGGGCACGTGGCGACTCCTGGGGGGATCCAACACTGGGATTCATAGTGGAAACATGGTGGGATTTAATTTGGGATATAACAACAATAGCAATAGGATAACAATCATATAGTACGCACCAAAAAATGCAGAAACATGTTTCCAACATCTTTTAGGTGATATTTTTTATTTCCGAAGGCTTCTCACTTTCTGGCAATTTTCTTGGCTGCTATTCATTAACCAGAAGCTGGGATAATACCATCTCCCGTTGCAGTAATGGGGTCAACTGGTTTTATTCGAATATAGCATATACTCCATATATATATATATTTATATGTGCATATTATGACCCGTGATACTATGATAGCATTGTTATATGGAACAACACTTCCTCTACTCTATATAATCCTAAAATTAAACCTGCCAATATTGGGGGAAAATCATATATTCATATACAGTATGTAGCAAACCCCAGAAATAAATAGAAAAGTAAAAATCAAAAAAAACACATGTAGAGTGATACTTTCCTTTTTTTCAAATCTTTTTGGGGTGGTTCACTACAATCCATGAGCTGGGCAGCCTCATTGGGATTGAGAATTCATGTCCTCCCCCTTTCGGAGGATTTTCCAACAAGGTTTCTAATCCTGCCCAAAATTGCTTTTGCATCCTTTTTTTGCATCCCTCCAACTAACATAGACCCTTCCATGAGTTGGGCTTGCAAGACACTTTCCGAAACTTCTCTCCATCGCCTCCGGGTATTGATGGGGTATTCCCTGCGTGCTCAAGGTGTTGGTAGATGGAAAGTAAGTCAGAACTAAAAAAACATCCAACATGACATAATTGGATGGAAGTGGGTTGATGCTTAGCCTTTTCCCCGAACGTTTTGATTATGGGCTACGTTGGGTATATTCCATGGTATTCCCCAAGGAATGATCAATTGATATCAGGTAATGATAGCAGTGTTATAATTTTGGATACCAACAATTCTGATAATCTGTCTGTGGCTTCCAGCGCGTTGATTTACAAATGCAATGACAATTTGTCACGTTTGCCATTTCAACTTGAGGAGAGCAGCTCAGACTCGCCTGGCTAATCTTAGCTACATTACCCTCTGGTAAACTAACATAACTATGGAAAATCACCATTCTTAATGGGCAAATCAACTATAAATGGCAATTTTCAATAGCTATGTTAGTTTACCAGAAGGTACTATAAAAAAAGGGCATCGTCTTCCGTTGACAGTGCCTAACCAAGATTTACAGACCCAGACGCAGTCCTTCTTGGGCGCAGGCGGTTCCCTGGCGGCGTAGCCATACTTGGGACGATCCTGCTGCGGGGGTGGGGGGATCATCAAGATAATACTTGTTTTTTTTAAAAAAATAATTAATTATAGTATTGCATTTGTAAAAAAATAATTGTATTTAGTTGTATATTTATAAAAGTATAGCTGTATAAATTAAAAAATATTACGGTTATAGTTATAGATATAAAACCCAATTTACATATAGTTGCATGCCAGTTATAGTATGTTATAATTCTAGTGTAACCCACGTATAACTGGGGTATAACCCACATATATACAGCTCAAAATATGGTTAAGAGCCACAAGGAGCCACTTGGAAACTGGGATGCGCATCCAAATATGAACATTTGAGGCGAAAAAATGGGATATCAAATCATGTCACATCATGTCACCCAATATCAACCGCCACGCTTGGGATCACCTCTCGCTACCAGTGAGGTCTAAGTAGGCACCATGGTTATCTGCAACCTCTCCGAACGGGCCAAAGCACTGATCGGATGAACAATAAACACCACCAAGAAACAATTTGTTCTGCAGAATTTGCACCTAAACTATTGGCTTGAACTGTTGAACGGGTGAACACATAGCAAACAAGTGGAAGAATTCGGCAAACTGGCACCATTGCCAACCACATAAAAAATCCAGTCTCGTACACAGATAGGCTGTGTAGACCTTGCAGATCTTGCAGGGCCAACCCCTCGCCACCAAACCTCCAGGATGGTCAAGGGCATCCCGCCCCTGCTGCCAAGGGACCGTTTTCAGCACCGGGTTCCATGGCAACTTCTGTTGAGACGCACTGTGAGAGCCTCAGCGGCGGGTTCGCGCGCCAATTTTGGGTATAGAATGGGGGGTGACCATAAGAAAAGTTTAAAGTTTAGACACTTGCTGGGTTGGCTCTCTGTCAAATCAAAAAGTGAGGTTGAATCCCCTTGGGTAGTCGAAATGGACATAATGGAGTTGATGCCATCAAACACAGGCCATGGCAGACCAAGTAGCTGGATCTTCGCTCATGGGAACTGCTGTCCTGGACGTCAGGAATGGTCCCCAGAACAGTACTTGCAGAAAAATAATGAAAAATAAGCACTTTCCCCATTTCTCTTGGCGATCCAATCACTTTTTGGTAATATATTATTGTATATTATTGCATGATTTTCTTAACTCTGAAATGTTATTTTCTCCCAACTTAACCATGGTACTTTTTCCAAAGATCGTAACCCCCCAGGTGACCAGAAGCGCCCATCCTTGCTAGAGCTGGCCATGTGCGCCCTGGAATGACCTGGACGGGCGCTTGCGCGAATTCCCATAAATGCTGAAGTTTACAAAGGAATTCATCCATGAAATGAAAGCCGAAATTCGTTGATCAGAGCTAGTGTCAATTGTGAGCAATAGGAGGTTTGTGGACATGATTCGCCCACATGGGGGTTGAAAAAACCACGTGATCATTGCAAGCCCCAATGAACGAAGGGATTCTCATCGCCAAACGCGTTCAAGACCAGAAAATGCCTCCATGATTCCTCCCATCTTTGTTCATTATTGTTCATTGAAATGCACAACTGGTTAGTTGAATATCCTAATTATTGTTCATTTTTGTTCCGAAAGTTGGTTGAATATTAAGATATTCACCCAAATGATTGTTCCTCCAAATTTCCGGTAAATATCCTAATTGCATGGGCCAAAAGCAAGCAAAACAAAACGCCGCACCTCAGCAAAGAAGAAAGACCCAGGCACCATGTCAAGCGTCAGCCGGCATGGGTACATGTGGGTGCTATGGAAACGAAGCATTTTTTCTTTTAACGGGGGCAAGGGTTGATGACTTCATGGGTGTTTTCAAGAGGTGAACCAACGAAAATCTATCTCAGCCAGGTTGCAGATTCGAAGCCATCTGGCAGAGAACAGCATGTTTTGGGGCGATGTTTGCGGCACTGTCCTGGAAATCGGTCGGCTGTTCTGCTGCAGAAACCGGAGCCACGTACGAGCTGCGTTGATAGGTTTGCATCTACATATTTTTATATTCCATCACATTCCCATCATACCTCCAGATGGACGGACATAGTCTTAGGTTAGGAGTAGCCAATCCAACCGCATGATACCATATGATACCCTTGGTTGGTGCATATCCCAGCAGCAGGGAACATCTGATCAACAGTTGCATCTTGTTCCATGATTGATCGTTATCATCAATATTGGAGAATATTGGTATGTGGTTGGTCACATGTGCAATCAGAATCTATCCCACGCCAAAGATTTAAAAACAACTCAGTTGGTTAGGTTGTCCCATGTTGTCTCCACAGATCTTTTGCTCTGGTCGATTCTTGAGAGGATTCTCATATCAACTTCGAGCGGCAAAGCTTTGGCCTGGTTGGAGGAAACTGGGCGATCTCCTTCATGCGCTAGAAAGCTCTCATTCTTCGTCTAAGCAGACCTAAAACATACTAAAGCACCTAGGCCCGAGGTTGTTTAATTATGTTTAATTAGCGGGGTAACATTTTACTAGCAAATTTTCACTGACTGTTTGGAGGAACCCTAAACTGCTCAACCTGGATTTATTCATCGCGGGTTGATATTAGAGGTCCAAGATTTCCCCAACCATTGATCCAGCATAATCCAGCCATGATTGCCCTTTTTTTCCTGCGCAACGTGAGGTGGTCTTCAAGTGCCGGGGCGCTATTGGCCAGTCACTTCTCTCCTCCCATGTGCGAAAAGATGAGGATCACTGCGAAGGCAATGACCTGGGAAATCAAAAGCATGCCCAGCAGTTTGGGCTTCAAATAATAAGGCCCCATGAGCGCACAAAAAAGCTAAAACAGATTGATGTTAAACAAATTCAGATAATAAAGTTGAATCTTTGTTTGTAGTTTCAGTATGCTATATGTCTTCATTTTGTTTAACAAATCCGAAGCCCAGCACTTCATCCCAGAGCCACAACCACCAGGCGCCCGCCGGCGCTGGGGGCCCCCGGCCACTGGAACGAGATAGACCTCAGGCTGGGTCTGGGGGAGGGATGGTTAGCAGTGCAAAAGAGCGCATCAGTGGAGCCACCAAACCACATAGCACAAATAGTTGCTATTAACATTGATAGACTAGTAATCGTGAATGAATGGATCATTCTATTAATGGATCATTAATATTGGAATTGATAAATATTTGAAAATATATCAATATCTATTAAACTTATTAATAATGGATAGTAACGGATCATTCTTATGCATCCAAATGCACGGCTGGCAAAGCTTTCCTCAAAATTCCCCGAGGAAAGTGACACCTGAATTTACCCATCCCAAACATCTTCCCACACTTTTGCCCTGCGCGTTTGCCGAACCAGGATGCCACCGCTGCACCGACCCTTGGCTGAGCATCCATGTAAAATTGCCAAAAGCATCCAAAAGCTACCCTCTGTTTATTTAACATAGCCATGGAAGCCATGGCCCATTTATAGATGATTTTCCCATTAAAACCTCCATTTTTGAGGGATTTTCCATGGCTATGTTAAAAAACCAAAAGCTATATCCATACTCTTCTGGTTGGTGGTATACCTACCCCTACCCCTCTGAAAAATATGAAAGTCAATGGGAAGGATTATCCCATACATTATGGAAAATAAAACATGTTTGAAACCACCAACCAGTCTTGTGATGGTGTAACCATGACCCACACTCAGCATGCTTGACGGCTGACGCGCACCTATGTTTAGCAACTACTTTCCCAGCAAACTGGAAAAGTAGCAAGCAAGCAAAGGGTGCCATGAGAGGAGCCAACAGCTGTTTATTAAGTGAAGAAAACGGCCCAGCTAAAGCAGAGAGTTGATCTAACGAAATATCATCCATTGCCAATCTATATAGATATACTTGGGCTTACTTGGGGACAAAAATCACTGACCTAAAGGGGCTACAACCGCACTTCAATCATCTTCAATCATCCTGCAGCCTATATCACGCAGCCACCAAGTACCAAGGCACCCTGTGCGTCAAACAAAACTTAAACTTCACATCCTACCTCGGCCTCGGCCAGAAGATACCCCCAGAAAAACTCAAGATGGAACCCATAATTTGCACAAAACCCGAATGGCAAAGTCATTTTTGGACTGCAAATGTTCAAGGTAGCTTCATCTTTCTGAAGGGGATGTATGATGAACCATAAACTTCTATGGTTTTGTGATGTTTTGTCAAGAGAAATCCAAGTTCGGTGTCAAATTCTGGAGGAGTCACACCTCTTTGGTGAGGCTTCCGCCGGTTCACAGAGCCCGAATGGCCAGCGCTTCTTCGTCCTGTCCCGAAAAACAGCAACTTTGGGTTCCAAGCATTCAGAACAAGGATGAACAAGGAAATTAGGAGGCTTTAAATTCAAACAAACCATACAATTAACCCACATTTACTAACCAACCAACCCAAAGCAGGAGGATATGATGGGGTACTGTTCTTGCAAACAACAACTCTAGGTGACTTTCCAGCTGGCCACCCCACACTGGCATTGGCAAAGGATGCTGATCTTGTCAGCCACTGGTGCCCCAAAGAAACACTAAATTCCCGAATCTATGACCAAAGAGTTGGGTTATCCCACGAAAAGCTACCAAAAACTACCCATATCATCCCATATCTACCCATGCACTGTTGACCTAGAGTTGATAAGGAAGAAACGGAGATCTGCCGGCGCCTCCCACGCCAAGTGCATGGCTGACCCGAAGGAGTTGGTTGCAGCACCTTGTCCCAACCAATGAAGGGATCTTGCTGAACTGGTTTCGATGAGGCCCAAGCAAAACTGGTTGGTGGTTTGAAACCCTCTGAAAAAATGAGTTCGTCAGTTGGGATGATTATTCCCAACTGAATGGGGAAAAAACATGTTCCAAGCCACCAACTTCCCTGTAAGAAATCCCATCTCCGACTGGCCGAATTGCAAAACTACAATTTGCCTGAGCATCACTAAACCTCCAAACCCAGCACCTCCGAATAAGAAGAAAACAAAACTTCCGGCCCCCACACAAAAAACAGTCCTGCAATTACTTTCAGAGCATTTTAAAACTCTGAAGTTCCATTTCTTGGGAGAAGGCTTATGCATAGGCAGTCCTACCCTGCAAGCTTTCTGGTCGTATCCCAATTTATGGCACTACACCGGGGCGCTCATGACCACAGGATCTTTCTGCAGTTTCCCCACGTATCCTCAGCTGGTGGTGCGTTCAAGACCCCACAGGCTCAAATCAGCAGCTCGGCGTCCCCAAATGTCCCCAAGTCTCAAAGCAAAATCATCAAATATGCTCATCCATCCTTTTTACCCTTAGAAAATCTTCTTTTCCAACCACCAACGTTCCCCTCAATGAACCCTTCCCGAGTCCATCACAGTCTAAACGAGGTACTTAGAACGCGCATGTTCTGCTTCACTGCGCGCACCACGAAGTCCCGGTCCTGGCTGTTTGGGGTGAAAAATGGTCCAAACACTGCATTGAACCAGTTGGTGGCGGGGTGATTTCCTACCAAAAGAACATGTGGTTTCAAACTGTCTGAACCATCCAGACAGATAATATATATATATATACGCACATGTTTACATTTATATAATTCATTTTTGTGATCATCAAACAGTTATTCAGTCAGACATGATGGTGACGAAATGTGATCCCAAGTTGGGTTTGATCATGTAAAGATGGAATTCTTGTGCGCAAAAATGGGGATTGTTCAGGACAAACATGGGGTATCTAAGCCGTAATCCAAATTCAAAATCACTGCTGAACCTAAAAACACAAGCAGTTAGTTTATTGCCTCCAGATCAAATGAATTCAACAATTGGTGGTAAAACCATTGATAAACATCCAAACGATGGGTATGTCTGAAAATGGAGCAGGTACCTGTCAAAACATATGATTTTTAGCTGGTTAGCGCATTTTTACCATTGATAGCAAAAGATTGAAGTACTAAAGTATCTAAGTAACCAAGATTGAAGCAGCCATTGAGACACTATAATCATCCCCATGATAAGTGAGTAGTAATAGTAATAATAATAACAACAATAAACTGTCCCTAAATCAACTATTTTAACACAAACACATGTCATTGTTCATTGGGTTGGTGTGAGAGAAAATCATAGAACATCTACAGAAAGCTGTGGTTCTTATTAAAACGGTTTTCCTGTGGACTTTCCCTTTATCCATTTTGGGGAATTATTGACTTCTCATTCCCTACAATAAATCTAAACTTTTGATGGTTATAAAGCATCTCTTGAACCAACAGGTCGACCCCAACAGCCATCTGTTTTTAGAGGAAGGTAGTTTTCCAACCTGGTAGCTGGGGGGGAATGGTAAACACCAATATTCCCAGAAAACATCATCATCAAATCACCATTGTACCATACCCCCATTGCAACCTCAATGTTCCAGGTCTTCACTTGCAAAACAATGACTGATCTTTTTCATAATAGAAGTTTGTGGTCCAAAGAAACATCATTTTCATGGATCATATCTGGCAAAAAAATAATGCCCGTTGATGTTGACTCAGCATCCAAGGCGTCAAAAAACGGCGACCAAAAAAAAGGACACTCGTCCTGCTGCAGCTTCTCGGCGGCGAAGAGGAACGCCATGGGCTCCTGGAAATCGCCAGGGAGCTGAAAGTGATGTGCAGCACCTGATTTGGGAGGATGGAAACACACATGAAACATCATGAAACCATCAGCCAGATCGAATATGGCAATAGGAACTTTCTAATTTTGGACAACCAACATGGATCATCTACAAGTGGTGGATCTTCAGTTTCCGGGGTCGCGAATGGCATCCTTTTGTAGCTGGTGAGCGGGCTGCTTCCAAGCACAGTGTTCAGGGGTCATGCTGGGACCCTCGGTCAGTGAAATCCCTGTTGTGGATCCATTGGTGCACCCGTTGCCAATTTAACACTTGCCTGAAGATCAGGTGCCCGTAAACCTAAGGTTTCTCATCATTTTCCCTATTGTTTGATGGTTATTTGGAGGATCAAACTTGTGAAACCTCCATTTTCAGACAGCCCCACATGTTTTTGTAGCTGAAACTTCCAGCACCCTCCATCTTCCCAGTTCGACCGGAAGATTCTCCTCGCAAATGGCCTCGATCATAAAATCTTCTTGGCTTCTCCTCAGGGAGCTCTGCCAAAAACCATGGCTGGAGGGTACGTTGGGTGGTCCATGTATCAAAAATTAATACCTCTGCAGGATATTAACGATATTAATTATTAACTATTAATGTCTGTAAGGTATTCGATCAATACCTCTTTACTATCCTGTTCAATCAATGACTGAATTCCTCACCCTGCTCTGCACTCTGCGCCAGGGCGCAAGTCATCCGCAGCAGCCTGGAGGGAAAAGACATCGCGTCGCACTGCCGCCATGACCACCTGGTGGCGTGCAACGGGCTGGGCATCGGTTGCAGAGAAACCCAGGGCATCCCAAGCATGGTAAGAAACGTCATAGAATTAGAAGGTATGCCATCTTTATATATGCAGTCAAACATGATTTTCTCTCATTTTATATTATGTAATGCATACCACACCAGGTCAGTCATGCCTATGGTCATAAATGGCATGGGATAATGGGTTAGATGCACATCTTCAGCCACACAAATGGCGTCCCATCAGCTCCTATTCCCCTCAAACAATAGTAATGTCCATTAACACAAACATCATCTTCCATATTGTTTTTTCTTGGGTTCCATGTTTCATTTCCGGCGTGTACCCCCCACAAAGAAGGGGTCGTATATATATATTGTATAGTTGGTGGCTTTAGCTTTCCCATTGCCAACCATATTTGGGATGATCATCCCGCATAAACGATGTAAGCCATAATTTTAAAAACATCTAATCGTATAATGTGAGTAAAACCACAGTAAACCATCCCCAATTTTCCCACAAATTGCTGGTATAAACCCCCAAATATGGGTGGTTCACCCCGGGTCACCTCTGGATCCCGGCGCAGGCTGGGATCGGCCAACTGCAGATGTCGGCCCGAGACGCCTATGGCCAGTCGGCCAAGGTAACGATACACCACCAAATAAAGGTGTCCTGAAATGGAGGTACCCCCAAACAAATCCATTTTAGATTGGGATTTTCCATTATAACGTTTTGGGTACCACCATTTATGGAAACCCCTAGAAGAAGATGTCTTCGCAGGCATCAGCCCTTTGAAGTTCAATTGTAAGATCACCTTCCTGGTTTCAACTTCCAAATTTCAGGGGTTCTGCACTGTCCTTCATCCCATTTTCTTTAACGGAGACCAGTGTGATGCAAAGTATGCGAAGGAAAATACTTCCAGATTATCTTGTAAACGTGATCCTATTTTTTCCACGTTGCCCACTCCATATCGGATTGTCTAAATTGGGGACCCCAAAATCGTAGGAATCCTCATGATGACTTCCGCGGTCCCCTAATTGCAGGAAACGCCCCATGTAGGCACCCACCGAACTTTCAAAACGAGAAACCGATGAGCGCCAACATCACATCCTTGCGGAGAAGATCGTCCAAACCAAGGTGGGAATAGGTGGAATACCGCTCTAAATGAAGAAAATTCTGCCCCTAAAACCACCATATTTCTATGGTAAAAATGGCTCCGAAATGTCTCCATGGAGCTGGGTTCCCACTTTGATAGGAAATGCCGTCAACTCACTGCCCCCAAAACATGGATCTTTCAAAAAAGAAATGACAATTTAGATCCATTTAGCATACTCAAGCCTTGCTAATTTCAGAAACCCTGCTACTAAAAAAAGTGACATCCCAATATAATATAACTGTTGGTCGTATCTCCCGGTTACATATTGTTGGTCGTATATAACAAAGAATCATAAACCTCCTGGAAGTCCTTGCCAATCTTCATTGGTTTCATCCATATTTTTGATGGGTTGCTTTAACTCCCTTGTCTTCATAGTGAAATTTCCAAGCTCCAAAGCCACAGCCGGTCCTTCTCAGCAAAACACTGGGAGGGCAGCAGCGTCCACGCCGCTTCCGAGCTCCGCGCGGCGGCGACCACCACATCCTTGTCCGATTGCAAAGCCTCAAGGGTATGGGATTGGCTGGCTACTTGGTGGGTTGAGGGGTTGGGGTGGGGAACGGGTCTGAAAATGGCCGAAATCTAGACTGAAAGGGATAGAAAGTCACCTAGTTGAGAAGTGGCAACATCAGCAGACAGTCTCAGGCACATGGTGTGTTTGTCTATTTTCTTTTCTGCCTAGGGTTCAAACTTTCTCAATGATTCTGAGGTACCCTCCGGCAATCAAACATGGCAATGGTAAAGGTAAATCCCCCATTCATTCATAGATGAATTTCCAATTCGAAGCGCTATTCAAACGGATTTCATGACATTTCCCAATGCCATGTGGGCATACCCCGGCAGATTCAATGGGGTTGCTTTATTCCGTTCAAAGATCCTCTCCCTTCATGGCCAGGCACCTCTGTCGCATGCTGAAGGGCATGACCGCATTGCGACACTGCGGCAAGCACGACTTCCTGGAAGCAAGTGCACATCATGGAGCCCAGCATGTTGGGGTCTACAATAGCTAAAAGCAACAAACAACGTAAACTAAACAAGTGCACACCTATGCATCACCTTGAAATGGTACTCTCCCTCAGGCTTGCCAATGGTCACTTGCTTATTCCATTCTACCAAGATTTGTATAAGTGCTTGCAAATTTTCTACGCACCGGGGCCAATAGCAAGTAAAAATTGAACCTGCTGCCATTCTCGTGTGATGGGGTTCACGGCCAAACCCTCGAGTTAAACATTTTTGTGGTTAATGTCCTTTACTAAACATCATGCATGAGGAGGTGGCAGTGAGATCTGCCTTATTTCCTAAGTGCATAAGTGTAAATCACGTGACCTAGTGCATAGTGCCCAATTGTGTCATCCCTCTGTTAATTTAGTTTTACTTGAATCAAAACATCTTACGGTCTCATGATTGATGGTCAAAAAAATCTAGACGTGTAATTTTTGACTTACCATTATTTTCTGATAAGTGGTTTCAGCCCCTCTGAAAGCATTTGTCATTCCACGTCACCTTCCCCAATAGGATCCAGACAAAAAAACAACATGACAGCACCAAGTTGATAAAATCAAATGTCATCAACTTTACCCACGTCCTCATCTTTCATCCCATCATCGAACACCATTACAATGAACAAATGCACCCATGTATCGTAATAATCGTAGTAACAACTATTGGCAATAACCATGGCAACCCCCCTTCAAAAAGTACGGATGATTATTGCACCCCCATCATTATACCAGGTTCTATTACAGCACCATTAGTAGTTAAACCCGAATATCATAATAGATAACCCACAATTACAACCCACAATATGATTATAAACCCCATATTAGAAGTTAAATCAGCTATAAATGCCATTTTCAATAGCTATGTTCAATTACCAGGCGGTAAACCTCAATTATAACCCACTCTTCCCCCGCCAAGTTCGTCCACATCGCCCCGGCAGCATCTCCTTGTCGCCCCGCAGCTCCTGCGCGGCGAACTGCAGCGCCAGGCCGCTCTTCTGCACCGCGCGCAGCACTACCTGCGGGGCGACCGTTCGGCGGGAAAATCCAACCAAATATGGGGAGTTGACAAGAGAAATCCATGTATATATATATAATTATATATTATATTTAAATATGCGCATACATTTTTTTAAATGATAATATCTTTTGATATACAATTTGGAAACAACAAAATAGCAGGGATTCCATTGGGAAATTCAAGACCAGACCCAGAAATATCAGGATATAACGAAGAAATCAAGAAACAATGCGATTTGAGCGCCAAAGGGGCACAGGGCAGGATTTAACCAACAAAACTGTGGGTTGTCATGCTTGGAAAACACCAAAATAACACGGAGTTTAATGATTTTCCGATCCAAGATGCTGTCTCCCTGTTGCCATGTTTGATCAACATAGCGTATCTGATAGTTCTAATATACATTTAATTTCCTTTAATAAGGGTTTTCTGTAAGCATTTCTTTCAACACATTCTAGAACTGAGAAGCTTACAGCTGAAAGGAACAACGCCATTGGAGATCATGATGCCGTTACATGCCGTCGATCAAATACCAACTTCTTTATCTTCTTGTGCAAGCAACCTGCAAGAGGCAATACCATGGCTATTGCTGGTGTTCTGACAGCACACATTCCCAGATCCTACCTGGCTGCAGTCCCCGAATGTGGTTGCAGCAGTGTAAATACGTTCATATATGCATAGATTGCTACACAAGTTGATCAATCGCATCTGGAATGACGCCCCGAAAGCTAACCCAAAGAAACACCAAGGAGGTAGGGCCGGGCAAACGCATATATCATATGCTCTCTCGTCTGGGAAATCCAGGGCACCACCACCTGTAACCTCAGCATCGCAGGGTCCACCTTTTCCGAAAACTTCGCCAGCGCTTTGCAGTTTTCCGACGTCTTGCTTGGTCACAGTAAATCCAATCCTTCCCTTGTTCCTTGCTTGCTGAAAGCTCTGAAACAAACAACAGGAATACCGTGTGTGTTTTGTGTGTGTGTGGGCGTTCGTGTTTGTGTGTGCCGGCATATGCATGTGTGTGTGTGTATCATCTGAACAGATGTAAAACTTCTGATTGGTTTTCACTAATTTGCAGGGGGTGGTAGCAGGGTCCAGAGTCTACCACCAACGAAGACGCTCTGGTTTCCCTGGTGATACATGGCCTGATCAGCCATGCGTACCTGCCAATTTTTCTGGAATGGGAAGAGGCTCAACCCAAGAACCTCCACGTCGTTTATTTGAGAATTTCAATTTACTGCACTGTTGACGCAATCTGGAATCAATTTTGACATTTACATGCATCAGAACCTTCCTCAGATTTTCGCCGAAACCATATCGCCGACAGTATTATGTTTTTTGACTTATTTTCGCCGAGATCCTGTCGCCGACGAACTGTGGGTCCTTTTGGGAAACAATCGCCGAAACATTATTGTGAATTCTCAACATGCTGGTCAAAACTCTATGGAATCTGGTTATGACTACGTTTGACAATATTGGATGCCCTACATCGTTTTCGTGAAGTACCTCATATGGCTCCTTTACTAATCTAACGATCTAGGCTGGTTTGCATGTTTCAGGATTCAGTTCCTGCCGGATCATATAATGATCCATTCTTGTCTAGTGTGATTTCCATGGTGGCTCCGACATGGTGCCATGGAGCCAATTGAGGCAACCCTTTTCAGGGTGAGTGGTGACTGTCCGGACTACCGAATTTACGAATTTTAAGTTGGTAATTCATCTAAGTAAACTGCAACAGCCGGCCATACTGTTTTTCCAGCCTTTTGAGTCTGTCCCGCTGATCTTGCGGTCCCAGGGATTCCTCGCCGATGCGTTTCTTCAACTGTGCTGCCGTTCTGAATTGCCAGAAACCTCCGTTTTTGCAGCAACTTTTGCAGCGTCATATTGCATTATCTCACGACCTATGATCAGGCAGGCACACGACTTTCAGGTGTGGTATTCTTTCCTTTTGGTTCTCTGGTGAGGTGAAACATATTGTGCATCTAATTCGTTGGAACTTGAAAGCTGTTTTATGCCATTGCGGCACGACTTGACCACGGTCCCGGTGCAGGGAATAATCGCACGATTTTGTAGGCAGTTAGGGACTGAATCCTGTATGTGAAACTTTTTACAATTGTCCACTTTTGTTTTGACCTACTGAAGCGATGCATCCGTGGAACACTCCAACATCATGGCCTGCTCCACCACAGCCTTCGAACCCATCTTCGACGTGGCCGCAATCGACACCGAATGCACATTTATTTGGACATCCCTCGGCTTTGCATCCTACATGGTCATCCTCCGCTTCGCTCATGCCGTCTACATCCGCCCCAACATCGTTGCCGTTCACCTCATTGACTTCGGCTCCTCATGCAGTACCAGGTCCACAACTAGTACCCACCATGCCTTCACCTTTGGCTCCTGAACCAACTATGGTACACACCGCTCCGTCGACTTTTCCATCTCCTATGGCACCTTCCGCTCCACCCGCGTGGCCTTCCACTTCGGCTCCATCCCCTACATCGACTACACCACCTACATCGACTATGACACCGACTCCTTTGCCCAGTTCTCCATACCCACCTCACCACATTCAACCTCCATTACAGATGGACGCATCGACGATCCCTCCAAATGAGCCTTCACCACGGCCCCCAGCAGTCAAAGCAGCTCCCAGGCATCGCTCTGACAAAAGACCGGATCGACCGCGCAGACCAGCTCCGAAAACCCCTCCTCACGCTACACCATCGACACCTAAGACAGCACCGACTTCATCCGTGCCACCTGAACTTGCATCCCTGGGTTCCACCGCACAACAACTGGCCGAATCTGTTCGACTTATCCAAGCTCAGCAACTATTAATCATGGATTCTCAACGGGCACAAGAACAACGTCAACTCCTTCTTCAACAAGATGAACATCCACCGAATCCTACACCACAGATACCACCACCTACACCTACACCACCATTGATCGCCACGCCCCCACCTGCACCAAAGGCCAGACCCACCGAACCGGACGTTCAGGACCATCGCATTGTCCCAGCTCCAACCATCGCTCCTCCTCACCAACCACAAGGTCCACCACCACCAACACGCCGACCACGATCCCGAACTCCAAGATCACGTTCCCATCGACCTTCTGTACATTCTCATCGCCATCGCCATTCTCCTCCACGTGCAGAGCGACCTCGTTCTCCTCTCCCTCGTCATCGCTCATCTACGAAACCCGACAAGAGCCGCAGAACACCATCTCCATACAGACGACGCTCACCACCACGACGCCGCTCTCCTGTGGTCCCTCGACGTCACCGCTCCCATCCACGCCCACGCTCCGCGACACCACGTCACCGATCCCGAGGCCGTGAAGTCATACTTCGACCTGCTGCAAACCCATCCAATCCGAACTACATTCCTACTCCTGATGCTGATGACACCTGGGGCACATGGAACGAAAGCCACTACAACGACGCCTACGACCACCACACTGCTCGACCCAATTCTCCTACTGATCCACCACCATCGGAACCACCAACCAACCCACCAACCCACACTTCAGCACCACTCGGCGCGGTGTCCTTCCGAGTTCCGGACGGCGACAGTGAAAATTCTGAGGTTGCTGATACCATTTCGCTCACCAAGTTTGACACGAATGACATCGACCTCGATGAAATGGTGGCGGCGGCCAATGACCCCCATAGAGTTCGATGCCTGACCGAGCTTGGCCCCGATCATGTTGTTCCTCTACGCCAATCATTGACCCCGGCTATCTTGCAGCTCTTCAACCAGTTTGTGGACGCGATGTTCGAACAGTTGGCTAAACCATACCGCACCGTCAACAACCATCGTATTTGGATCAAAGCCAGCCAAGCCACCGTCAGGAATATTGCCAGGGCCTTTGCACAATCCGACTTACTGGACATCGAACTTGCAAAGCAAACACAAGCCTTCTATATTGAGCCAGAGAACTTGCTGACCATCACGGTTCCCACAGGATTGAAGAAGAAACCAATCTACCGTGGCGAACACATGGGCACCTACCTGATCTACCACAAGACAAGTTGGGAATCAGTTGCCAAAATTCTTGCTGAAGACTGCATCCGCCCGGCAACTTGGACAAAAAACGAAGCCGGCATACCGACCCAATACCCGTGTTACGGGTTCTTCGGAATGTCCTCTGAGATCGCAGACACCGACAACCTACCCGGCTATGCTGTCAGGATCTGTACCTCTCAGCTCTACAAAATAGGCAAAGGACAAAACCCATCAGGCCTGCTGGCCATATGCCGCTCACCCAAATGCATCCGTGCCCTAGCTGGAGGAAATGACCAAATCCAACGCTTGTGCAACCTTGCGGGCATCGCCAAGGGCAAAGACAATGCAACGGCTATGAACTCAAGCGCTGCATCTATATGCTACGTCGCCTCCACTCACCAGGTTTTCCCGGGCTTGATCACACACCAGACTGCGGAGACCAATGCACCTTCGGAACCTCCTGATGATTCTGCACGTCCAGTACGACCTGACCCTCCTGCCGACGCCCCGGACGACTCTCACAATACACCGAGCCACCGCGAGACCGCTACCTCTGGCTCCCGGGACTATGCTCGCCGATCTTGGCATGACAATGCTGCTTGGGACAATTCCACCTACAGCCGCCGAGATCGCCGATCCTCATACTATGACGACCATTCTCGCGACCAGCACCATGAAGGCCGACCTCGTTCTCGACATTCGACCCACCACTCCAAATCTCGTTGGTGAATTCTTTACCCTTGAGGAGTACCAGAACAAGTATCGACTATTCTACGTCGGCGATCCAGTGAGCCTAGTGGCCCTGCCCGATTATTTTGGAGTAACAATGCTTCTCCCGACATTCGGTATTGCTGCCACTTCTTCCTCAAAAGGTTTGTGACTCGCTGCATGCTCATATTGTGGATCCTTGCGCAAGATTCGTTTTCACCTTATGTTTCACACACTGGAACCTCGTATTATGTTTCACTTTTTCACTCGCACACTATCC